CATCCATCCACCAATCTATCTGCTCATCCATCCATCCACCCATCCACCCATCCATCCATCCATCCATCTGCTTATCCATCCATCCATCCATCCATCCATCCATCCATCCATCCATCCATCCATCCATCCACCCACCCCCCCACCCCCCCATCCCTCCACGCCTGCGTGCGCCGCTGCGCTCCCGTCTCCGCAGGACGGCAGCCTGGCGCAGCTGCAGCCGCCGCCGTGGCGCGCGGGCACCTTCAGCATCCCGGCGGGCATCCGCCCGGCGCTGCGCCTCGTGGCGCTGGAGGTGAGCAGGGCGCCAGGGCGGGCAGTGCCCTCCTCGCGCCCGCTCCCGACACCCGCGCTGCACCCGCAGGTGCTGGCCTGGGGGCTGCGGAGGCTGCGCGGGCCCCCGCCGCTGCCCGTGCGGGCGCCCAGCCTGCTGCTCGAGTGCGGGGGCCACGCGCTGCGCACGCCGCCCATCGCCGACCTCCGCGCCAACCCCAACTTCCCCGTCAACGCCTTCCTGCTCACCCTGGTGAGGCCAGCCCCACGTGCCCTTGTCCCCGCGCCCTCGCCGGCACCCCTGGGTGACGTGCCCCGCGGCCAGCACCTGCCCGTGGAGGAGGACTACGTGCCGCCCATCAAGCTGCGCGTCCTGGACACGTGGGACTTCGGCTACCGGCCGGAGCTGGGCCGGGCCAGCGTGCGCAGCCTGCGGCAGTACTGCTGCGAGCCCGCCGCGCCGGGCGCCCCCGCCGCGCTGCCCGGGCCCGGTACGGCCCCGCCGCGGCCCGCAGCGCCTCCGGACCCGCCTGCCCCAGCCCTGCCCCGGCCCCATCCTGTCCTGGTACCCCAATGTTCCCAATCCGGTCCCGGTACCCAACTGCTCCATCGCTGTCCCAGCTGCATCCTGTCCTGGTACCCCAATGCTCCCAATCCGGCCCTGGTACCCGACTGCTCCATCCCGATCCAGCCCTGCCCCGGCCCCATCTGGTCCTGGTACCCAACTGCTCCATCCCGATCCATCCCTGCCTCATCACTGCTCCATCGCCACTCCATTCCTTCTCCATCACTGCTCCATCCCTGCCTCATCCTGGTCTCATCCCGGTCTCCTCCTATACTAAACTGCTCCATCCCTACCCTGCCCCTTCCCCATCCCTGTTCCATTGCATCCTCATCCTTGCTTCATCCCTGTCCCATCCCTTCCTCATCCTTGTTAAATCCCACCCCTTCCCTGCTCCCGGCTGCCCAGCACCGCACTCATTTCTTTGCTCCTCTTCCCTCGCTGCAGCCGCTCCCCAGGGCTGGATAGCCCAGGTGAGTGGCCCCGCATCCGCTTGCGCCGGCCACCCGCCCTTGGCACCGGCCACCACCCCCGCGCGCCCATCCCGGTGCCTCGGGTCCCCCCGGCTGCATCCAGGCCCTTCCCAATCCCACCTTGCAGCTCCTGGCCAGGATCACGGCCGAGATGGGGGCCGGCCACAAGGTGGGCACGGGCCACCGCGACCACCGCCGGGGCCACTGTGGGGGGACCTGCTGCTCACCCCAGTCCCCAACAGGCTGCTGAGGAAGAGGAGGAGGAGGAGGAGGAGGAGGAAGGCGACTGGTGGAGCAAATTCTATGCAGCCACGGGTGACGCGGCCAAGCGGCGCCGCGGACCGGCCAGGGATGCACTGACAGTGAGCGCCGGGGTCGCCGGCTGGGGACAGCGGTGGGGACACCCCAGCCACCCGCCCGCCGCGTCCCCAGGTCTACAGCAGCGAGCTGGAAGCCGTGCCCGAATTCGAGGGGCTGCAGGATTTCTGCCAGACCTTCCCGCTGTACCGCGGCGCGGGGACGCCCGAGGGCGGCGAGGACCCCGTGGGCGAGTTCAAGGTGACCCCCCCCCCAGCATGGGTGTCCCCGAGGTGTCCCCGCCTCTTGCTGGCGTCACCGCGCGGTGCCCCGGGTCCCGCAGGGGCTCTTCCGTATCTACCCGCTGCCGGAGGACCCCGGCGTGCCGCGGCCGCCGCGGCACTTCCAGGAGCTGCCGCCCAGCGAGCCCCAGCAGTGCCTGGTGCGGCTCTACGTCATCCGGGCGTTCAACCTGCCGCCGCGGGACAGGAACGGGCTGGTGAGGCCCCCCCGGGCGAGCGGGACGCGGCGGGTGGCCCCTCTGCGCCGGCCTCACGCTCCCGTCCCGCCAGTGCGACCCCTACGTCCGGGTCTCGCTGGGAACCAAGAAGGCGGGTGACCGCGACCAGTATGTGCCCAACACGCTGGAGCCCGTTTTCGGCAGGTGATGCCCGGGAAGGATGTCCCTGTCCCCCTGGCACTGCCACCCTTGGGTGGCACGGAGCCGAGGAGCAGGGTGGCTGTGCTGTGGTGGTGTGCTGGTGTGTCCTCGTGGCCACAGGTCCCTGTGCTGTCCCTACAACCCTGAGTGTCCTGCCACTATGTCTCAAGTCACCCAGTGCCCATGTCACCAGGTCCCCATGCCACCAGGTCTCTGTTCCCCATGCTAGAGGGTGCCCGTGCCTCTGGTTCCCAATTGACCTGGTCCCCAACACCCACACCAGTAAGTCTCCTAGTCACCAGAGGTTTGTTCTCCATGCCACCATGTCCCCAAGTCGCCAGGTCCCCATGCTACCAGGTCCCCATGCCACTAGGTCCCCAATCCCTATGCCAGAGATACTCTATGCCAGCAGCACCCCATGCCACTAGGTTTCCATCCTGGTGGCTCCTCATGCCAGCAGGTCCCCATCCCCACGGGTCCCCAGTCCCCACGGCATCCCCATTGCCCATGGCAGCAGTGCCCAGGGTGACAGCACCCTGCCAGCAGGCTCTTCGAGGTGACAGCCACCATCCCGCTGGAGAAGGACCTGCAGATCTCGCTCTTCGACTATGACCTGCTGCCACCCGACCAGGAGATCGGCAGCACCAGCATCGACCTGGAGAACCGGCTGCTCTCCCGCTACCGCGCCCACTGCGGGCTGCCCCAGCTCTACCACGTGTGGGTGCTGCCAGCCCACCCACCACGACGGGGGGCACGGGGCAATGGGCACATGGGCAAAGGGGCCACAAGGCAATGGGCCTGGGGACAGGGTTACGGGTTGGCCCAAGAGGAGGGACAAGGGCAGATGGTTGTGGGGGGGCACAGGAGGACAGGCATGGGGAGAAGGGTATGGGTTGGCACAAGGTGGTGGGCACAGGGGGATGGTTATGGGTGGGAGGTGGTCAAGGTGGGCACAGCAGGGTGGACATGGGGAGGTGGGCAAGGTGGGCACAGCAGGGTGGACATGGGGAGGTGG